GGGGGGGGGGGGGGATTAAAAGCACAGCAAAATATGTACACTTTCAGTTTCCAAGTACTCTCAAGCTATGAAAATCATCAACTTTGGTGACCATTTTCTCGCGACCCCCAACTTCTTCTATTGCAAATAAGTTGACTTCTGTGTAAGATAAATGTGAATTTTTTCAAGGAGAGATAGACAAATGAACAAGCTTTAAGATAATACCAATAACTCCACATGCCTAACAGTTGACGAGCGCTGATTCCACAGCGTCCTGCCACAATTATGTGACCATTGCGTTTTGTTACTTAATACAGGATGCCCATTGCGGATGAGATCGGGTCGGGTCGGGTCGGGTCGGGTTGGGTCGATCGACTGACTCGTCGCCTGATACGAGGTGCCCATTAGGGGATCGGGTCGGGTCGGGGTGGTTTGCTAGCCAGATTGAGGGCGCGCCCGACTCGTCGCCTATAAAACAAACGCATTTCTTTTCAGGCGACGAGTGGAGCGATCGCCCCTGACCCAACCTGATCCCATCCGCAATGGCACCCCGTATGAAGTTTTGTACATGCCTACACAAACATGTCAATGTTTTCTATTCAATATAACAACTGTTGATCCCAATGCACTTTTCCATCAGATAGGCTAAAGTCAGCGGTCAAACGCAGTGACCATGTCCACTTCGGTAAGAGTCCTTTATATTTCTTTCTCGTCTTCAAAACGCTGCCCCCTTAGTCAATATTTGAGTTTGGGTAAGAAATGAAAGTCTAAAGGAATAAAGGGGCATTTTTTTCGTTGAAGATTCATAACAGGTAGCGAAACAAGGATGCATTAAAGGGATCAACGTCTGAAAAGACAGTGAGCAGTATGGAGAAACCCAGGATCATCACGACCCCAGAAAGCTCGAAGCAAGGGAGTAGCTTTGAAGGTGATGCACAATATGTTTTTGGATAACAAACCCAAAATCAAACCAAAACGACAGAAAGATGTGTGAAAACAAAATTTTCACAACAGCCCCAAAATCTTTCTCCCCTCTCCCCTATTTTTTCATCTTAATAATATAATCTCTCTGTCTCTGTCTGTCTGTCTGTCTGTCTGTCCGTCTGTCTCTCTCTCTCTCCCTCTCTCTGTCTCTCTGTCTCTCTCTTTCTTTCTCTCTCTCTCT